TGGCTGCTCTGAGCGCAGGCGCTGAGCTTGCGGCGCTGCCTGAGCCGTTTGTCGACCCGCGCGCCGACCATCGTTTCTCTTTGTAGGCAATCGAGGGCACCTACATCGACAAGAAGTGTCCCTTCACGGGCAATGTCTCGATCCGTGGCCGAATCCTGTCAGGTGAGTCGTGAAAGCTCCTTGAGGAGCAACACTACGGGCGTAATCTCGTGACTGCCCTGATGCACGTCAGCAGTCGAAGCCCACGAGCTGTCGGCGGCGATCCAGAGCTGCCTGGAAGCCCCGCTGTGGTCCTTGAGCTGCACATGATGCCATTCTCTCACGATGGTCTTCCAAGTCTCGTGGTGAAGGGGCTTTGACGACAATGCCGCACGGCTTTGCTGATGCCCAGCGAAAGGACCGGGTGCTGGCGGTTGCCCTTCCAGATGTGCTGTTCTGTGGTGCAGATGTCGGTGCGATACGGTAGCGGATAACGCAGGGAGCGTTGGTTCTAGGAAAGGTCTGGCAGCGTGCTTAGAAGTCTTCAAAAAGACAAGAGAAATGGGTTGTTTTATAATACAAATTTGAGTATTGTAGCCTGGCAGTAGGAGAGCCCTTTCATCCTGGTAGAACTAGGGTCCCAGAGCACCCCTCAGAGGATGTGTTCCAGTTTATTATTAATGTAAAAAAGGAGAAATTACTGGAATTGAAGGGTACTGCCTTCCGCTGTCAAATACCACTCGTCCCTGCTGATCTTACTGGGTAGCTCTTGTGAAAATCTCCGTTCCCTGTTAGTTACAACCCAGATCCCCGGCCCGGTTTACCCCTGGTCAGCGCGTGCTTGCTTACGCTCGTCGCTGTCGCCTCCCCCCCTGCTTCTGTCGCCCAGGTGTGGTTACCAAGATGAAGATGCAGCGCACCATTGTCATCCGTCGGGACTACCTGCATTACATCCGCAAGTACAACCGCTTCGAAAAGCGCCACAAGAACATGTCTGTGCATCTGTCCCCCTGCTTCAGGTGCGTGCAGGCCCCCACAGCGCCGGGGGGAGCGTTACTCCGTGGAGAGGGGGGGTGTGGGAGTGCCAGGCGCGCTCCGAGTGTTTATAGGTACTGGTTGTAGCGCGGAACTCGGCTTTTGCGTGGAATCGTGCGTGTCGGTGTGACACGCGCGGTTTTATTGTTGCTCCTGACCCGGAACCTGCTTACTGGTGATGATGTCTAAACTCACGATGGTCTTCAGAGCCTCTGCTAGCCAGGGGGGCTGCTGACAATGCTCTGAACCGTAGGACGGGTTCTGGTCAGTCTGCCTGTTCGGAAACCGTGCACCGCGACAGCGCTGCAGTTCTTGAGAAAGGATAAAAACTTCGATGTTTCTGAAGTAAACGCTGAGGCCAGAGGGGACAGGCTCAAAGGCTGGTGGGTTTTTTTGTCCACCACGTGTTCCTCAGCCTGTCTTTGCAGCGCAGGTTTCCAGAAAAACCGGGACTGGCATTGCAGTCCGGCTGATCTGGCTGAAGTGCTTTGAGCCTGTGTGTGACTGGGAGGGAAACTCCCGGCCTCTGAAGGGTTTCCCTTCAGCGCTTGGCACTCATCCCGCTCTTGAAAAGCTTGCCTTTAGTTTAGCCTTGCTTTGATTTTGAGCTCAGCGCGGAGTGACGGACTCCGAGGCCTTGTGGCAGCTGCGGGGGGGTGACTGCCGCTTTTTAGGCGCGCTGAAGACCACCCTGCTTTACAGCTTGGGGTATCGGAGGTCACCTTCGGCGCTGTCTTGCTCGGTAGCGTCACGCGAGGCAAACGTCCGTGCTGCAGAGCAAACCAAGCGTAAATGCGGAAAATTGAGAAGCGCTGAAATGCCAGTGATGTCTTTGCAGGGATGTGCAGATTGGGGATATCGTCACCGTGGGAGAGTGTCGTCCCCTCAGCAAGACTGTCCGGTTCAACGTCCTCAAAGTCACAAAAGCTGCTGGTACCAAGAAGCAATTCCAGAAGTTTTAAAGACGGCATATTGGAAGATACGCAGGACAAATAAAACTTTTGTAAAAACGTACCCTTGTGTGTGTAATCTGAAATAAATAGCGTGGGGACGCAACAGCGCGTGTGAACTCCTCGGACTGCGGAAACGGGCGAGATGAGCGCGCCTCTCGAGGAAGACGTGAGAGTGTTACGCAGATGCGGGTTCAGATATTCCATGTTTTCCGTTCGGAAACGACCAGGGTTTGGGCAAGGGACGAGGAGCAAGTCTTGTGCCTGTGTTGCTAAGCGGGGACCTTGGTATTTTTCCGCGGAGCTGACGCAATCTGAGCAGTACCGTGAGCGAGCCTTCCTCCGTCTGAGGTGCGGCGTAGCCAGCTCCCGCACAGCCCTGTCCAAAAGGAAAACTGCCTTTGCGTCTCCTCCCGGGCTCTATTCCGGGACAGGCTGACCGAGGCCGAGATCTTCAATGCGTGGGGAACTGGGGCACAGTCAAAAAGCAGAAGAGGACGCGCTCTGACCGCTTTTGGTTACTTTCTGGGGAGTTCTCGCAGCTTCCCAGTTCAGTACCCATTACTGCTCTCCCATTTCACCCCTCCCCGGCGTGGCTGCAGGCAGTAACAGACTGGAGATCAGGCGATAATTTGGTTTAGAACAACGTAAAGCCTCCTCTTGGTGATAAAGGCAGTTGTGACTTTAAAGATGGTTTCTCAGAAAGCTTAAGTGTGCGCTTAAGGAGAAAGATGCCGTGTGGTGGTTTCACACACAGAGGTGTCCAAGCGCATTTTTACAAGGCTCTGGTGTGTGTCAGCAGCTGAAGGGAATGGGAATTAATGCTAAAGAAACTGCTTTTCCTGCAGGTTTGGTTTTTTTTTTTTTTTTTTTTTAGAGGTGACAGTTGCTCGTGGTTCCAGCAGTCGTAGGAAATGTTATTCTGGGAGCTGAGTAAGCCCTTCTGTAGGAAACACATCCCACGTTCGGGGGAAAAACCAGGAGGCAGCGATGGTGTGACGCAGTACGGATGGCACGCCTGTCGTGGAGCATCAGGAGAGGGCATGTGATGAGAACCAGAGGTGGAAAAAAACCAAAATCTGGCGTTTGAAACCCTTGTAGTTCAGCTGGCAGCGCTACCTTAACCCAGGGCTGGCTCCGGCGGCGTTGCCTGTTGAGCTGACGCTGGATCGGGCTGCGAGAGCAATCCGGTGCCCCACGGCTTGCGGAAAACGCTGCGCGGCGGTGACTTCTGTATTGGCGCGCGCCTGGCTTGCGAAAATTTAGTAGCGTTTGCGTGAGAGCTTTTTGGTTCGTGCTGCCTTGTACCTTTGCGGCAGGGAGGAATTGTGCTGAGGGAGCTGGGATTCTGCTGAGGGAGCTGGGGGTGTTCAGCCTGGAGAAGAGGAGGCTGAGGGGAGACCTGATCGCTCTGCAGCTCCTGGCAGGAGGGGGCAGGGAGGGGGGTCGGGCTCTGCTCCCAAGGAACAGCGATGGGACGAGAGGAGATGGGCTCAAGCTGCGCCAGGGGAGGTTTAGGTTGGATATTGGGAGAAATTT